GGGGGGGAGGGGGACGAGGAGGAGGTAAGGGAGGAGGCGGAGGAGGAGCAGCAGCAAGACGAGGAGGAGGAGCAGCAGGACGAGGAGGAGGAGGAGGACCAGAATGGCCAGGAGGAGGAGGAGGACGACGATCGGGAGGGGGATGCCAGGGTGGTGCTGTTTGAGAAGGTGCACGAGCATGTGCTTGTTGCGGAGGACGGAAGAGGATGAGGTGGTAAACGTCAAAGAGGATATGGGCGTGGAGGTGGATGTCCTCCTCGCGGCCTCCGGGCGTGACCGGCGGTTCTCCGCCGGGACATTGCAGCGGGGAATCCCCATTCCACGCTGCTGCCTCTGATTATCATTATGCTCTTGGACGTCGTCTTCACCAACACATTACCATAATCCGCATCGTCGTCGTAATCCTCAAAACCATGAACAGCAGTCAGCGTCAGCATCATTATCGTCATCATCACCACCACCATCCTCCGCATCGCCACCGTCGTCGACTGTCTTCGTTGCTATCGTCAACATCCTAATCACCGCCACCACAATGATCCTCAACTTCCAAATCCCTCCTCAGATTCCCTCGTCATCCCCCTTCTCTCCAGCCCAGCTCTTCCTTGACCTGCCCTGCATACTCCCCGCCCATCATCACCCTCGCCCACCGACATTGACATCCTCCCTCTTCAACGTCCTCCCACTCCACCCTCGACTGCCCCCCCATATCTACCTTCCCCCACGCTGATCCTCCTTCCTCCTCCTCCTTGCCCCTCCTCCTTCTCCTCCTCATCCTCCTCCTCCTCCGGCCGAAACCAGCTTCTTCGGCACAGTCTCCACGGACGGGTCATGTTTGAAGCCAGGCAGTAAAGCTCACCTCACGGCAGGGTGGGCCGCTGTCAAAACAAATGCAGAGGGCGAAATCACCGCCGCCCTCAGTGGACGGGTAGGCCGAGGTCTCCCCAAATCCTCTCTTGCCGCCGAGCACCTTGCTGTGCTTGCTGCTGCCTCCTCGTCCTCTCGGACCACGGAGATCTCGGTCGATTCCCAAGGAGCTTTAGATCTCTGTGCGTCGGGGCTCAGCAGAAAGAATGTATACTCTGGGATGGGCCTGCTAGCTAGAGCTGCCATAGGCTGGCACCCGCACCTCATGCTGACCAAGGTCAAGGCCAACCGGGAGCCCCGGCGCTGCGCCAGCAGGGTCTCCCGAATGGGTCGACATAACGGGCAACCAAGGGGCCGACCGTTTTGCTGGCATGGCCTTGAGGACTTTCGCTCGGCCGTCCGAGGGTGAGGTGGACTCGTCTGCGTCAGAATGCAAGCTCCTCAGCAAGTATATGTTATTTGTTGCCAGAGCCCTGCAGGAGGGGCCTCCTCTAGGACCCAGCGTCTCCGAGAAAGCTCTTCCC